CAATATTTTTCTCGTATATTCAAGTGAGCCCCTATTACCGCTTAAACGGAATGACGCCAATTTTGAATCACCCTGTATACAGTGTGGTCCCAAAATTGCGTTTTTAAAACATTTCTTCTGTATTGCCCACAAGTATCTATTTTTTGCTTACAATCATAAATGTTGTTTTGTAATGTAAATATGTTTGGTTGATGTTTCAAAACGTTGAAGAAAGATACAGGGTGTCCACATATAAATGCTTCAAAACGTGTAGTACTGAACAAGTAGGCAAACCGTAACTGTTTTTTTGTTTATTTAAGGGCAACAGCCCCTTGAAAAAACGACAAGAAATTTGGTCGTTTGCAATATCTGGTATCTACAAAGGCCTACTTTAAAGAACCCAGTTTCAGATCAAAAGAACCCCAAGCAAACCTCTGGTTGTGATTTGAAAATATTATATTTGTCAAAACTGAAAAATCACCCTATTGAGACGATATCTTGATGTCAACTTTTGAAAATCTGTAAAATTCGACGCAATTAACTAAAACTTTGATGTGTTTGTTCTTCCGCAAGCCAAAAAATATTTTTTCCGGCAGAAAAACGCCAACAAACCGGCAAGGTCGAGATAGAAATCAATTAAGGCAACGCGCACAGTAATTAGCAATTGGCCCCACTTGTCCTGACGATTCTGACTCAATCTGCCGAATTATTGACAAATTTGAACTTGAAAAATTCCGTTTTCACACCTTACCTGTAGCCTAAAATAGGGCAATTTGCGGAAGAAATGTTCCATAAGCCCTGCCAGAGTTTCTGTTATGTAAAGTTTCCCGGCGGCCTTAATTTCGTTGGAAAAAAGCCGCGCAATTAAAGCGCTGAACTTAAGCAGCGGCTAATTATTAATGAATGCAAAATGTGATAATTGCCACCGATGTATGCACCATTTCTAATCTAATCAGGGACGGGGGAGAAAGCAGTACTTTCAGAGGGCTTTATGAAGGAAATGTCCATATTTCACAGAAGCTGCACCTTAAACTTATCCCTTATTGATGATAACGCTCAAATAAATCCCGGGAAGGATCGGCTGAACCCGCCCACATTCACCACCTGTCCGGTACGCACCTTAACCAAGCGCCAAAGAAAAAACGGTCAGCCTCCACCACTGCGTTTCGTTATGATAATGACCCCAGGTCGCCACCATTTGGTACAAGAATTAACGCATTTTCCTCGTTGTCTTCGAAGGCCACTGATTGATCTATATAAGTATCAACCAGCCCAGTTTGAGTTATAGTTTGTCTTTCGGTTTCTTCATCGAAATAACTAACATGAAATTTCTGGTAAGTGCCCTTAAGCAAACCTGCAAAGCGCCACCGATAATGCCATCTTTCCCTATAGGTGGTTGCAACATTGGCGCTCTGCGCTTCAGCCCATGCAGGCAT